CCACTTGTATCTTTTTTTACTTTTTTATTAAAACTGAGCTTTCAAATCTTTTATATCTTGATTGGTCCATTCAGATATTCTTTTTTTTTCATTCTGTATCTGAAGATCTTTCTTTTTTTTTCTTTTTAGAATTTATTTTTCTGTCTAAAAACTTCTCTTATATTTCAATAAAAATTTTTCAATTTCTAAACAGTTCTATCAAAATTCTTTTTACTATTTCTAATAATATATCCTTCTTTTTTTTTCAATTCTTAACTTCATTTAATCTTTCTGCTGATATATCTTAAATCAAACTTGTATCACTAATCCATTGAGATTTTAACTATTATATCTACTCTGCTAGCAAATCTTTCATCTTTTTTTTTCAATTTTTGTTGTTAATTTGTGAGTTTTTTCGCTTGCTTGATATATAATTTTTATTATTCATTCTACTGAAGTTGTAAATAAAGCTTTTAAACTTATTTTTGCTTGAATCTGTTTTAAGGTTTTTGTTTCTATAAAGCCTTCAATATTTTGTCTCTTGGTTTCTTTTCTTCTTTTTTTATCTTTAGCTTTTCTTCTTTTTTATGCTTGTTTGTTACAACAACTTAACTAGATTTTTTTAACTTTTTTAACTAATGTTTTCAATGCTATTTTGTTGTACTGTTTTTGTTAAATTTTTCTTGCTCTTGAAGTCTTTTGTTCCAACCTAGTTCTAATTTTGACTTTATTTTAGTAGCTTGTTTTTTCTCTGTTAAACTTGTATTTTTTTCTTTTTTTTGATTTCTTTTTTACCTTGTGCTAATTTGCTGTAATGAATTCTTTGAATTATTATATTATTGTCTTTAGGGCTGTTCTGTTGTATTGCTTTTGTTGATTTTTCTTTTGTTCTTGAAGTCTTTTATTTCAACCTAAATCTAATTTTGATTTTATTGACTTATTTTAGAAGCTTGTTTTTCTCTCAAATCTATTATCTATCTTATTCTATTGGCTATTTCTAAATTAGCTAAAATATTATTTATTTCTTTATATATGATAAATCTAACTGAGTCTTCTTCTTTTTATATTGTTATAAAGTAATCATAGTTATTTCTTTTTTGAGTACAAGTTCTGTGTAATTAGGTATATCAGGAAAATTAAATTAGTGCAAATCTGCAAAAATCTGTTAAAATACAGATTTTTGCAGAATTTGTATAAAAATCTGTAAAATTTTTCAAATTTGAAGTTTTTTACAGAATTGCATTTAATTTTCTCTGGCTATAGCCAACAGGGTCGCAGATTTACACAAATTTTCATTTAATTTATTATTTAATTTTTTGCAATTTTGTGCAGAACTGTACTAAAAAAAATTTCCTGATGTATATCTGAATTATATTTTCATAATTCTTTATAAAGTTTTTCCATTTCTTCTTTTGTAATAAGTTTTTTTCAGCATATTTTGCTAATATCAGATCTATTAGGATATCTTCATTTTTATCAAGTGCTTCTACTTGTGCTCTAAATTCTTCTAATACAGTAATCATTCTTTCAGAACATTTTGTTAAGTTTGCTTTATATAACTTGTTGTTTTTTTATTATTGTTATTTGTTGTCGTTATTTATTGGAATTGTTTATCACCTTTATTTAAATTTATTATATAGTTTTTAATATGTTTTCTTTGTTTATTCTTTATTATATATTGTGATTTTTGTATTACTAAAACAGATTTGCATTATAGAATTAAGGCTAATTTTTTAAAAATTTACAAACCGCAAAAAAAGACTAATGTTTTTGCAAGATTTTTTTATATTCTTGTCATTTTTGCTTCTTTTACTCAAGTCTCTTAAGAGACTGAGTGTTTCTAATAGTCCTCTTCCTTTTTTTTTTAGAGCTCCAAGTTTGGTTTTTTAGTAGTTTTTGTGTATTTTTTATATAGTTCAGGACACTTAGAGATAGAAATGTCTCATTTTGAGATTTAAAATTTTAAAAACTTTAAATCTTTTAAAAAGTTGATTTTTGATCTTTTTAATTTATCAAATTTTAATTGGTTAAATTTTCTATAATTTGATTGGTTGTTTAACAAAAAAGATATATTAATAAAAAAATAATTATATAAATTTACATTATTAATAACTAAAGTTACTAAAATTCTAAACTAAAATATACTTTAAATTATTGTTTTAAAATTATAAATATTATATTTTTTATATAAAATAAAAAAATACATCATTAATTTTTTTCTATATATCCCATTTTAGATTGTCTTTATAAAAATACAATATTTTTAAACTCTAATAACTTAATAACAAATAATTATTTTTAAAAAACAAGGCTGCTATTTTGTAGTAAATTATTTTAGCTACAAAATAGTAGCTTCTGTTTTTTTATATTATTTTTTTAGCATAAGCTATTAGCTTTTAAAAATTAGTATTTTTATTATCATTTATAAGTGTTCTGAACTGTAGTTTCTTAAAAATTTTTTTATATAAATTTGTATATAGAGGATTAGCAAAAAAAGTTGTAAGAATAATAATTATTATTATCTTGCTTGTATTTTTTTTACTTTGTTTAGTTAATTGATAATTCTCCAGTAAACTGAAGAATGATCATAGTGAAATATGATATGGTTCTATATATAAATTACTATAGATGCGAAATAGAAATTTTCTAGTGATTGTTCAAAGAAAACTTTTTTTCATACTAAGTTAATCATCTTTGAGTTTCTAAGTAAAGTTATAGAGCTCATCTAATGGTAGTTTAATCATCTAAATCGGCCTTGTAGATGCTAAGATATCTTTGAAAAACATTTCACTGTCTATATAAAGTTCTTTAAGAACAATCTAAAGAATTTTTATATAGATAGCAAGGCCGATTTGGATGTTTTAATTACTATTAGATTCATCTTAATAAGCTCTACAACTTTACTTAGAGACTCAAAAATGATTAACTTAGTACGAAAAAAGTTTTCTTTGAACAATCACTAGAAAATTTCTACTTTTGTATCTATAGTAATTTATATATAGAACTGTATTATGTTTCACTATGATTATTCTTCAGTTCACTGTAGAATCATCAATTAAATATCTTTAAAATATAAATTTTCTATTATAATAAATAAAAAAACTAGATGCATAAACAAAAATAGTAATAAATAAGTATTAATGCATCTTTTAATATACAGTTGGCCTTTTTAAATATATAACACTGAAACTATAATAAAAAATTAAAAAAAATATATATTTAAAGAGGTTATATATTTAGAGAAATAAAATTTATAAGTAATATTAGTTGGGCTCAAGAAATGATATACATTTAGAACTGGTCATGGGGGGTGTGGTGACTTAGTGAAGTGGTCAAGTTGTCACCCTCCCAAGTAGCATATCCAGAGTTCAATTCCCACCAATGACGAAAATCGAATTCTTCTGTGCATTGATGACTATTCGGATGTTGGGATTTAGATCCTGTAATGACGGTCAGACCAAATAGGTGCAAAGGGTAATAATCGCCTAACAGATGGCTTATCTCGCAAGCCCTAATCGGGGGTAGTAGTACAGACTTGGAAGATCTTGGGGCATTTGTGTAATAGAGAAGTTATATAAAGAGATACAAACCGATAAAAGGCAATGTAAACCCACGATAAGTCCCTAGGACCTGTGTAAATCTGTTGGACGTTATTCTGAATAGGAATCTACTTGGCAAGTCCCGAGTAGAGAGGTAGCACTACTTTTGATAGCACTGAAACGTTCAAGAAGAAACCAATAAGCTGTGGATCCGGACGAGGACCGGGTGTTTGGTAAGCACCATACCAATCAGGCCGCCAGAATCGACCGGAGGAAAAGGGCACAGGCCGGTATCTGGGTTAAGCCAATAGGAAAGTGGGTAATGTAACCTGTGAACCAAACTGGGCTATCTGGATTGGAAGTTTGTTAAAACAGTGAAAGGGTCTCTGATTGGATGAGTAAGGGCTGGGGTAGAGTAAACTTTGCAAGGGCAAGGAGTACATCAGCAAATAAATATAGGCGAAATATTTTGAAATAATTTACGAAACGTAAAAATAGCGTAATATTGCGTAAACTATTTCGAATTAATGCGAAATATCAAAATTACGTAAACTAACGTAAGAAAATTCGAAATAATTCGAAATAAATTGCGAAATATTACGTAAGATTAATTTCGAAATATTTCGAAATAAGTTAAATAATTTGAAATAATATGAAATAAATATAAAAGATTATATTCAATCTGTTGCAATTTAATTTAATATGGTTCGCACAAGTTCGAATTTAATCGAATGAATTAATAGCATAAGTCAAAAGTATTTATAAATATTTTTAGATAAAGTACAATTCAAATAAAACTTTTATTATTTCATTAAATTTAAATTATATAAGTTATACGAATATTTTGAAGTTACTTGATTTTCGTTTATTTGTAATATAATTAAATTCATTCTAATTCGATTCATTTTAAGATTATTCGAACAAGATCGATTTAATTCACAATAATTAATAATGTAAGTCAAAAGTATTTATAAATATTTTTTAGATATAATACAATTCAAATAAAACTTTTATTATTTCATTAAATTTAAATTATATAAGTTATACGAATATTTTGAAGTTACTTGATTTTCGTTTATTTGTAATATAATTAAATTCATTCTAATTCGATTCATTTTAAGATTATTCGAACATGATCGATTTAATTCACATTAATTAATAACGTAAGTCAAAAGTATTTATAAATATTTTTTAGATATAATACAATTCAAATAAAACTTTTATTATTTCATTAACGAATATTTTGAAGTTACTTGATTTTGGTTTATTTGTAATATTATTAAATTCAATCTAATGCAATTTAATTTAAGATTATTCGCACATGTTCGATTTAATTCTCTATAATTAATTACGTAAGTCAAAAGTATTTATAAATATTTTTTAGATATAATACAATTCAAATAAAACTTTTATTATTTCATTAACGAATATTTTGAAGTTACTTGATTTTGGTTTATTTGTAATATTATTAAATTCAATCTAATGCAATTTAATTTAAGATTATTCGCACAAGTTCGATTTAATTCTATAATTAATTAATTACGTAAGTCAAAAGTATATATAAATATTTTTTAGATATAGTACAATTCAAATAAAACTTTTATTTATAAATTAATATAAGTTATACGAATATTTTGAAGTTATTTGAGTTTCGTTTATTTGTATTATTATTAAATTCAATATTAATATTTGATAATTAAATTTATTTAATTCGATCATATTCGAATAAAATCTATTATGTTTTGTTTAATTAGAACAATTTCAATTCGTTTGATAATTACTTTAAATTTAATTTCATTTTTTCGAATTAATTTGAATATAATTGATTAATGTTTAATGTATCAACGATTAGTTTCTTTTATTAGTTTCTAACATTTCAATAATTTAGAACAAATAAAGAAAACCCGATTACATTAAAATCTAGAAGACTACTTAATAAAATAAGTAGAATGCAAATTATGCAGATTAATTTACTTTAAATAGTAGTCAATTTTTCTCAAGCGGATTAATTATTTTCATATTCTAAATATAGTAATAATATTTTAAATGAAAAAATAAATCGGGATAATTCGCATTGTTTAAACTAAACTAAATTTAAATCGAATTGGTTCGATTATATTCAACGACAATAATTTAGAACGAAGGCATTTAAAAGACCATTATAACAAAATAAATCAAGAATATTTATAGTATTAATTTCGATAAAATTAAATAAATATCGATTTTATTTAATATACTTCAATAATTAATGATTTATAATATATTGTTTTATTAAATTGATTGTTTAGATAATTCGAATTCAATTAAATTAATTCGAAACAAATCGACTATTTACGAAATATTAAAAATCAATAAAGTTTGATTACATTAGAATTATATCAAAATAGTTTAAATATACCATCTTCCACTGCCTTTTCTCATCGTATTTCCCTTTCAAACTTTTCCATAATCTTTTTCATAATTTCAAATCAATTCAAATATATTCGCCTTTGCTCCAAACTTTTCAAACTTATTCAAACTATTTCACATTTCCTCTATTTCCTTCTATTCATTTCTATATACACTTTAATTCATATCTCTAATTCTCGTAAAATTTTTTAACTTAATTCAAATTAATTCGCCTTTACTTAAATTCTTTCTTTTATTTTCTTTTATTCTTTTTTATTTTTTTTAATTCGCATTAGTTCGAACTTATTCAATTTCATTTTAATTTATTCTAATTAGTTTTACATTTTGTTTTATTTTATTTTTTCGTATTTTATTTTTTTTTATTTTTTATCCTTTTAAAATGTCTTCTCAACCTGGAAAAAGTGCAAAATTATCTTCTAAAAGACGCGAAGCTTTCTTAAAAATGACAGCTGGTAGTAACGTTACTCAGCTGGCTAGTGAGCGGGCTGCTGCGCAACCTGTCGAATCTACTGGCTCAGCATCGCAAATTGCTCCTGGGACCTCTGATGGTTAAATTGCATTAATTTTATTTCGTTTATTCCATTAATTTTTATTTATATTAATTTTAATTTAATTTACTATTTAATTAATTAAGATCAGGTTACTTTAAATTCGATTAAGGATATGCTGCTTGAGATTAATGGGAAGATTACTAGAATGGATCAAAAAATTTCAGCCATGGAAAAACGTATGACAGAGGGTCTGAATTTATCTAATGAAACCAAATATATAAAAGTAATTATTTCTTTAAATTTTTCTTTATAATTAATTTAATTTAAGCTAATTATATTTTATTAAATAATAGCAAATAAGTTTGGCCATAGCGAAAGGACTTATAGTCCATAATATTTACCCAAGTGAATTACAATTAAAGGAGGCAGCTGAAGAATATCTTATTGAAAATGAAACAGATTTTTATGAGTCAATGGAAGATATTCAGTGGAATGTTTTTTATGAAGATAAGCTAGCAAAATTGGTAAACATTAAATAAAATCGAATAATTTCGCACTATTTTAAAATATTTAAACTAATTTAAAATATTTAAACAAATTTAAAAACTATTCTAATTCAATTTAATTAATTTTAATTTATTTAATATTTTTTAATTTTTATAAATAATTTTTGCTTTTATATACAAATTATTTTCTTAAATATTAATCTAATTCGATTCTATTCGAATATATTTAAATTTATTTCAAATAAGTTGCTAAAAAGCCATCGAGCATGTAGAAGCCGGGTTTCATCAAAAATAAAGGAATCAATTTTTGCAGTTTTTGGGGAGACCCTCTTAGATCCTATTAATACTAATGCCACGCCTCAAGCTATTGCGGCGTGGAAAAGCTCTCGTAAAACAAAATTATGTTTTAAAAAGTTATTTGCACCAATTGAAAATGACCCAAACGATACCTATTTTACGCGAATACTTTCGAGAGCATGGCCTACTGCTGCACCCACTAATATGCAATTGGCATACACAGCTACGGTATGCCAAATAATGTTAAATGAACATTATGAAAAACTTACTATGAGTGATGAAATTACAAAAAATCGATTAAATAAAAATATCGTAAGTAAATATTTAATTATAATTATCACTTAAATTAATTCTAACGAATTTTATTTAATTATTAAGGATAAAATAGCAGCAGGCACAGCTTTTCGCCCCCCTGCAACTGAAGGTGAAGAATCTTTAACTGAAGATGAGGAAGCTGAACCAACATCATCTTCAAGTAAGCGGGGTCGTAAAAGAAAGAGGGCTCCCACATCCACTATGGCCACCCGAAGCACCAAAAAGGGCAAAAGTGTCACAATTCCTACTTCAAAACCAACTTCACCTGTATATTCAGTGGAATCTGAATATTTCCCAGAACATTCGCAATCTCCCGAACAATCTCACACTACTGTACGGTCGCACTCACTCGAACATTCTCAAAATATACCGCCACCACCTGGATCTTCATCAACTTCTACTAATCCGCCTCCACCTCCGCCTCCACCTACTTCAAGTTCATCTAACCCACCTCCACAAACTCGCCCTGAAGATGCTGATCATCGATACCCACCACCACAATCTTCATAATATAAATTTTTTTTTTATTTCTATTTTTTAATATTTTTATATATATTTTTTTTTATTTTTAATTTTGTATTGTTTTTATTTGTTTTTATTTTTTTATTTTTTATATTAAATATATTCTTATTTCAGTTAATAAAGATTTATCAGTTATATTATAATTATTTTAATTAAATTTAAAAAATATTTCGAATATATTCGCATATAATCTAATTAATTTGTATCAATTCAATTTAATTTAATTTAGTTTGAATATATGCAAATTAAGTTGATTTTATGCGAACTATTGCAACTCAAGTTATTAAATTGTTGCGACTCAATCTATTAAATTATTATTAATATTAAAAATGAAATAATTTCTATTTTATATTTAAATTAAAATTGATAAACTTTAATATAATATTATATAGGATCTAAATTTATTCGAATTAATTCAAATAGTTCAAATAAATTTAAATTAATTATTCTTGTTTTTATTAAATAAATTCGAATCTATTCGATCTTTATAAATATTATTTACTATCTTTTAATAAAATATATTTTAATATAGTTTAAATTATTTTATTATGTTAAATTAAATAAATTCGAAACATTTCAAATATTATAAATTAATTTTAAATAATTTAAATTTTAAAAGATATATTTATTAACTAAATAATCATTATTTTTATCGAATCGTGGGATTATATGTACATGATTTTTAATTGATTCAATATCTATAATATTAAATAATTCAGTTTCTTTAAGTCTAGGACACCCATAATAATATGGATTATTTTTATACTTAAAATCATACCACCGAATTAATGCGAGATTATCTGCATTTTCTTTAGTTGTTTCGACTTTGATTAATAAATATATCTAAAAATTAAATATTAAAAATTTAATATTTAAATTATTAAAAAAAAAAAAAATACAACAAATACCTGTCCATAACAAATTCCTTCATCTGTCAAATATTCAAATAGTTCATCTGAATTCATAGCAACTGCTATATTGCTATACCAGGCTTTTTTATAAAAATTATCTGTTGCTCTAACTATAGATCCATTTTTTAAAGTTACTGAGCTATATATTTGAATTATATAATCATCTATATTAATTTGATTTGTTGAACTATAATATGGAATTAAATAATTTAATAAATGTTCAAGCCCAGTATATATTTTAGAATTTGGTCTATAATTTTTTAATTTGTGATTGATAAATTCTTGAGCATTATTTAAACCAAATGTCCAAATTAAATTAGTAAATTTAAAAGGATTTATAGTTTTAGAGTTTTTTGGTTTGTTTAATAATAATTTAGATACAATAGCCTTTCTTTGAACCTATTTAAGATAAATAAATTTAGTTAACTTTTATAAAAATATTATAAACATTATTAAAGTTAAACAATTCTTACTATTTTCATTATTTGATCTTCTATATTTTGTTTATTGGTTAAATAATATGGTGTTTTAACAAAATCTTTATGAAGACTTTCATAAGTTTCAGTAGAAAACCCATTTAAAGAACCATATTTCCTAATTAAATCAATAGTATGATAGATCCATGAATGTAATTTTGGAAACTTTAATTCTGATGTAGAATATGTTTTAAAAAGATCAATAAATTGTTGAGCCCAATTTATTATTAGATTCTAAATAAAATAAAACTATATTAATATTCATTGATAAAATTATTTAATTAAATATTTTAAATATATCAAATTAATTTGCATGGTTGTGAATTTAATTGCATACCTCAAAATCTTTTAAGTCACTATCAGTAAATTGTTCATTTCGACTTAATATATACATATTATTCCAATCTTTATAAAGCTTAAGCAATTTTTTTTGTATAGATTCATCAATATTTAGGTTATCCAAAACAAATATCATAATTTTCATAAGATTACGATACTCATTTGCAGTAATTCTTGCAAGTGTTTGAATTCCATTTTTAAAAATTTTAAGCTCTGGAAACCTTGGAATATTAGCTAATCTAATATCAATTAATTCCAAAATAGAAGCACCATATTTTTCTTTTAATAGATCATATGTAAAATTAATTTGGTATTTAAATAATCCCAAATCTAAATGGTGCATTCTATCAATCACTGTAGCTTCATAAATATTAATATCACTAAAATTAACAAAAGTATAAGTTAATAATAAATTATATATTGTATAATTTATAATTATAAAATCAAATTAATTTAAATAAAATCGATTTATTTCAAATTATATAAAATTAAATATAATGCAAAGTAAAATTTGCATTTAAATTTATATAAAATATTTTAAATAAAATTGATATAATTCAATATAATTTGAAATAAGAAATATTTGAATAAATATAATTCGAACTTATTCGAACTTATTCGAACTTATTTAAAATATTTAAATAAATTAAAATATTTAAATAAAATTGATATAATTCGATCTTATTTGAATATTATATTTGAATAAAATAAATATAATTCGAACTTATTTAAACTTATTCAAACTTATTTAAACTAATTCGAAATATTTAAATTAAATTAAAATTATTAAACTAAATAAAAATAAAAAACTTACTTTAAATTCCAAAAGAAATTTGGTATCTTTTCAATGCATACTGATTGTTCATCATCATTATTATAGTAGTTTCTCATATTTTTATGATTTCTAAGTACCAAATCATGTTTAGAACATTTGGTATTTGCTATATCATCTCTATTTAGTAAACAAAAATGACAAGGATGTTTAGAATTTGTTGATTTATAAGTTAGACAAAATGTTGCAGCCTCTGGCCAATCTGCGATTATAGTCGAAACTTTTGGATACAACCAAACAAATTTGTTATTAACTAACAAACTTATACCAGATTGCGAATGGTTTCGAATTGGTTCTAAAAGTATTTCTAAACATTTATGAAAAGTTTGTCTAACTTTTTGTTTAGTTATACTAGAAG